AAAGTCAAACTTGAAGGGTGGAGTAATCGCCGATCTCACCTGAGATGATACATAGCGTTCCAGACCGAAGATCTTGTGTCCTGAAAAGGCTTATGGAATCGAGAAACGATGGCAAGGCGAGAGAAGCCTTCTTGGTCATCAAATTCTGCAGTCAGGGGGGTTTGTTGTATCGCGGATATAACCCAAGGATCTTTGGTTGCATGGAGACACTCTATTGGGGATGCTTAGCTGGAGTTCGCTGATATTCCTCAAAGTTTTCATACGAAGCAAGTTTGAGAAGCTAGTCTGTTAAAAGAACAAGGTCAACCAAAACCACTGAATGAGATCGGCAGTTCACGGAATCGGCGGAAAGACAATACCAACGGGTCTCTCCACCCCTCACCCCTGAAGCAGTAGAGCAGTAGAATGGAAACGCAATTGGTCTGTGGAGTCGTCGGAGATACGAAAGCCGTTGACTCCAGGAAAGGAGAGGGTTGCTGAAAATATTGGAATGGCACATTCAAGTCATACGTACAGTTCTCGACGACAATCTAATCCTAGAATTACAGGTCAGGGAAAAAAGAGGACAAAGAGTCAAAAAAGTCGCGGCGTGCTTCATTGAGTATGGTGTCCCATCTCGCATTGCAGTGCTGGCACACGACATCCTCCACCAAATCGCTCGTACCCCTCTCCACCTTGTGGCTGCGCATCGTCCGCAGTGTGGTCAGGACATCCATGCTGCGCATTATTGAACGATGCAGTACGACCACACGCCAATAGATATGCGTCTGGCACCCCTCTTCTGCCTTGCATTGCCATGTGTCGAGGGCGAGTGCCTCCAAGCGGTCAGCTATCCACCTCATCATCCGCTCGCGGCCCATGGCGACCTTTTCGCGATCCGCCGGGCTCAGAAGGTCCTGGCGCACACCGCGAGCATGACGAGGCGCCTGATTGTGTTGCCCATATGTTGCATTGATGGGGAGGCGTGCGAGGTGGTAAAAGGCCAATGTCAATATGCTGGGTTCGAACTTGCGAGCGAGGCGTATGACTGAGGCAGGCTCTGGTGCGACGTCATCCATCGTGGTGGACGGCGGGGAACCTTTAAGGCGGCGTGAGTAGAAGGCCTCGCGTTCGTCCCAGGCTTGGAGTGATTGAGGCCAGTCCTCGCGGATGTAGGAAAGAATAGTGTCTTTCAGAGGATCAATGAGGAACTTATCGGCAAGTCTCAAAGCTCCATACATCTTGAAGGCTATGTCAGGATCTCCTCTCTGTATTGGGGCTGCACTGAACACATAGCTGGTCAGTAACTTAGAGACACAGTCAGCCAAGCGTCTCCGAGCTGGCACTTACAACGGCTCATAGAGGAATTTTAGGAATATGTTGAGGTCGCGGGGATCTTCCTGGAACTCGACAAGTGGAACGCCGTCGTATATTTCGCGTCCTGCTGGCGATGAGTCGGGGAAAATGTGGTCACTCAACGCTTTCGAATGTTTTGAGAGGATGGACTGGTGAACACGGAAGTATGTGTGATTTCCAGCGTGGTCTCGAGTGAGAATAACGAGATTCCCGTCAGGAAAATAGAGGTCTGGGTCATTAGAGATGCTTATACAGACGTCGTCTGAGTCCACAGACATTTTAAAAATAGGAAGTGAACCATTCAAGTGAATAGAAATTGCTTCCGACACGCGTCAATCAAGTGGGCACGTTTTGATGCCTGCTGGTTCTTAGATTGTCTGGGCTCCATTCCTATCAATAAACATTTGGTCTGACAGTACGGCCGTGTGGCGAAATGGCATCGCGTCTGACTACGATTCTATAAATTTGCCATCAGGAGATTGCAGGTTCGACCCCTGTCTCGGTCACTGTCGGGTTCTCAACGATTCCTCTTTTTACTTGACCTAGTCGTCCTTGAAGTTACTCTCAACGTTAAATCACTAAACCAGATATCGATATTCTATCAAGTGGATGAGCATCTGTTTTTGGCATGTGTGGAAGCTATATATTTCACCCCATGATATATTCGTAATGTCTGCCTCAAGACTAGGTTCAACTGTGTCGTTTCAATGTGTTTATTATGAAGTCGAGATTTTATGCTCACAACCAATTGTATACGAGCTGTCCACATTATCCCACTTCCACCCCGCCCACAATGACAGAAACGTCTATAGGAAATGGCGAGATACCCGAGGCATTCGTTATCAGAGGTACAGCTGCGCGGCCTCGCTCTGATGACGTATGGGTGAGCATCATGTAAACAGCTTGTGAAAGGGTGTCTGCCAGTTTTGCGTTGAAAGCTTGTCTATCTGAATATAGCTAGTGAGTTCTGTGACTACCATGTGAGACATGTGTGCTTACCTACGTCCCCGGTCGGTTGTCGTAGCTCAGCATTGATTATCCTAATAGTAAATTAGCAAGGCAATCGCTATATATTTTTGTAGACATGCACCATTGTTCCCAGGGGACGTCTTCTTCACCCATGTAAACCTGAAACCACGATTTCTTGGGGCGTTTCTCAGAAAAGGTGACTTTTATCTGTAAGTACAATTTAGTGGATGTGGTCACGTATAGTGTAGACACTGCCGATTACTTGACCACGTCTACTTGCACCGCCTTCAATCCCCTTCCAAAACGCGTCAACTTTGTCGTTTATGAGCTGCTGCATCCCTTCGTCTGATACACCAGGCTAATCACGTTGAGTTAAGGAAATATTCAGCCGGGCTACAACACACCATCGTCACGTCCAGAACCTCGAAAGTCTGAGGCTTCACAGTTCCAAACAGTCGATGGAACAAGATGGAATGCAGCATGCCTCGTAAAACATCTTTCGTTGTAAGACGATCCAGAACCTAGAGTACGCATTGCCAGTTAGGCATGCTTCCGATGCTTTCCAAGGTTATGCACCAAGTCAATCGTAATTGTTGGATAAGCGTCGTTTCCGGTGTTTGCCATTATCTAGAGGATATGTAATGCGATGATGATGATAGTAAGAGTGAAAAGAAATAATTGACGCGTGCGAAATGATTGAGACTACTTGTACAAAGGATCCAACTACCAAGATGAACTTATTCTCCGCAACGGCCCACGTTTACCTGCCACCCTAAGTCTTTCTACACTACTCAACCGGTCAAAACGGTAAACTCACATGGAGCTACGTATACTACTTGATTTGCATCATTTTGCTGCGGCGCCAGCCGTGAAACTGTTGTACATGACTCCTTGCTGATCAGCCTCGGACTCAAAAGTTAACAAGTCAGTCAATCACCCCCAACAGCACCGTTTTCCCCACTTCATCTCTGTATATGGTTATGAACGAAGGTGTTCGTGTCAGGTACTTTCGAAGTGCAGACAGGGATCAAGTGATTCATAACTTGATACTGTCGTCGCTGTATGCATGTACGTCATCGTGTTAAGCTACGGGGTGCCACTGGATAACAGATCTCTGTCCAGCTAATTCACCCCGTCGAGTTGCTCTCAGAGCCTTGATGGTCAAACCTCTGTCTCAGTTGGCCTATTTTTTGATATTAGTTGGACTCGCCATTGCCATCGCCTCCAGTTCCAGCTTGAAAGTGATGTTCGGTATGCTACTCTCATCCCTTGTAGCTGGTTCTCTCCTTGGATACCGTCACCTGTTGTCGAGGACATTCATCGATGTTTGGGACTTATTTCTTAAGGACGACCTTGCGGACATAACATCCCACTACCGCATGGAGCCTGCACGAGACGGCAGTGATAATTTTATTCCCTCTAGTGCGAGCGCGTTCTGGGTCGCAGAATGTGATCTACCAGATAACAATGATACCGAGATCATTGGCACTGTTGCCCTTGGTGAGATTTTTCATGATTGTCGAGACAACACTAATCAATATTATACTAATAGATTGCACAATGCAAGACGGCGTTCTTCGTGGCGAGTTGCGACGAATGAGCATTTCGCCACATCATCAAAGGCGAGGCATTGGATTGCTACTAGTTAAAAACCTTTTGCAATATGCCCGCGAACATGATGTCACAAGTGTCCGCTTAACGACTACGCATTTTCAGCAACCTGCCATAAGTATGTACAAAGCCCTTGGATGGGTTGAAACTAGCAGAGAGGACGTGTATGATAGATACGGATTGATCAAGGTCGAGCTTTCACATCTTTACCTCAACTTGATGCCTGCGCAAAGTATGAATGTCAAGGTGCGTCTGTAATGGAATAGTTATAGTCCTCGAGGCTAATATCTGAGTAGGAACAATCTTAAATCTTTCTTAGAATAGGTTTCCTTTTTAGAGGCGATTCGGGGCATCCACTTCTATCCTAGAGTTAGATAAGTTGAGTATTTGGACATCACTGACCGCAACATGACCTTGTACAGCAAGCTGATGCTACAACAGTGCTTCTTTCTTCTCCTCAGGAACATTTTGGAGCTCAGCGGGCCAATACAATCAATTCATAACCTAGAAGTATTTGCGGCAACAGTTCTATAGATACGTGATTCTCCAGTGGTTGCTGGGATTGAACCTCGGCAGGATCAAGAGAATATTTAAAGGAGGTCAACGAGGCCAGAGCCGGCGTCGCTGGCATTGTACCACCACTTCTCAGCAGTCATCTGAAGGAATGTGATTAGAAATAATATGAGGCGTATGTGAATTTTCTCCTGACCTGGATGTAGACGGTGCCATTCTCAAGGATGGTCTCGATGGTGGCGTTGTTTTTGGTCTTCTTGACGACACGAATTTGGAACGTCTTGGTGGTGAGGAGTTCAGCGAGACCTTCCTGGAGCATTTCATCGCCCTTGAAGCCCTGACGCTCCAACTGATACTTGAGGCCATCGCTGGTTGAGAGTTCGATGAGTGCACATTAATAAGAAGTAGAAAGGGCGCTTACTTGAAGTAATCGAAGGTGGCCTTGCCGAATCTTTCGTGCCAGTCCTTATCAGTTTTAGCGGCGCTGAGAGCCTCGTAGTTGGCCTCGAAATTGGGGTCAAGGATGACATCAGGAAGGGCAAGATATTCAGCAATTGTAGCGGTAACGTCATCAATATTGTCGGTGTAGTGCTTTTCGATGGAAGACTTGGCGACGATCGAGAATCCAGCGCGGGGAACAGATTCTACGGCCTTCAAGAGGCCATCACGCTGATCGTTTTGGTTATAGCCGAGCTTGGTGTGGTGGAAAAGGATGCGGTAAACACCGTCCTTGATATCGGCGGAGATAGTGGGAGCCTGCGAGAGAGCATTGATGAGCACGGCTCCCAGAAATTTCTAAAGATAAAGCTAACCTTGTCGCCTTGGTCGTTAACATTGAGGGAGAGCTCAGATTGGGTCACAGCTTCGTTGAAGTGAACCTTCCCCTCGTCGCCATACTTCTCGACATACCACTTGAGTGCGTCGATGAAGCCCTCAACGTAGCTAATGGTAAGAGGTAAGTATGGCAGCAAGCAGAATCAACGAGCGACGAACTTCTTGAACATCGAACCGGCAGAATAGCTGGAGTCGGGTGGATTGTAGGCCCAGACTTCGTTCGCGTTTATCTTGAGGTGGAAAGGAAGTCCAAGGATTTCAGAGATCGTGGACTCAAAGTCCTCCAACTCGGACTCGTATTTATCACGGACTGTGATCAAAACGTTAGCGAATTTTGTTTGTAGACGATGGACGAAAGGTCGCCTACGATCTTTGCGGACAGCGAGAGGGAGCTTCTCGATGGCGGGCTTGGGGACAAAAGGAACAGCTTTTGGCATCTTAATTTGAGTAGAGAAAAGAGTAGAAGTGGGAGTGCAGTTGAAAATCGAGAAGTTGTTGGTATGATGAGGATCGGGGATGAACAAGAGACTTTTATACCTCTGGTGTAACTCCGTTGCGTAGAAATTAACATCATACAAATGCTCTGCTTGTGTCGTCTGTCGATTCACAAGATAGATTATCCGACAATGGCGCAGCCACGAAGTCAGCAACTGAGATTTAGGGCGTCCATCAGTGTCCCCGCTAACGTCTTGTGCGGAGTGAACGTGCGAAGACTATGGCTCACAGCAAGAGCAACCAGAGCGCCCGTCATCGGACGACAGGTTCTTTCGAAATGTCTGTTATACGGCATATGAGAAATAAGGCCAGCGTAGGTTTTTCTGAAACTTGTTTTCCAGAAGACTGGTCCCACCTTTGAGGGTAAAGCTGGAATTGTTGAGAACTGTAATAGAACATGACTGGATAGACCTATCCTGCGGCTCCCTAGTTGTCTTTTACGATTACAAAGGCGCTTTGAATAAATATAAAGGATTACCTTTTGCCTACTACAGCAAGGGCTTGACAGTGGATTGAGAGATCAGTGATACGTCTTGACTTCTTTGTCATTGACGCAGCTCGATGTTTACATCGAGCATAGTCACAAACGACCATGATTATCGGAATACAGTATATGACAGCTTGGGCGCGCTGTCCATGCTAGATACGCGTGGAGCAAATGTCTTTCTCTGAACACATGCCAAATCAGAGGGGTACTACACCGTACGCTGTGCGTGGAATTAGAAGACCTGCTACTCATTCCTATAAGATTTGGTCGGCATTTGTATAATGAATGGGTCGAGTGCTATAACCAGCACATAGATTCTTGAGTTCAACATGACTATGTATAACAAATCGTACTGGATAACCTGTACAGAAGTTTGTTCAAGTTGCAAGCCGCCCAACATCACATAGAACTGATGATCTTCTAAAAATAGTTTGTTACTGTCAGTCTGTCATCTAATCTTTGATATACATATCAGGCAACTTCACGCGATTCTACACTTCGCCTTGGCTTCCACTGCCTCTATCAGTACAGTTTCAGCAGTATTAAGAAAAGGAGTATACTGTGGTAGTTTGGAGCATGAAGGGGCAAGAAATGGTG